ATTATCATTAAGACCATCTTTAATAGAAACTCAAATTCTTACCTAAATTTGAGTAAAAAAAAAATTGAGTAAAAATCTTGAATTGGTATTAGACCTCTCTGGTGGAGAAACTCAAATTTAAATGAAAAGAAATCAAAATTTAAATGAGGATAAACTTATATTTAAAAAAGAGTAAAATATGATCATTGGATCTTTAAAGGATGGTGTAATCTTACCATTAAAGATTTGAGTATAAATTTGAGTAAAAAAAAAATGAGTCTCTTTTTATTTGATAAGAATATGAGTCTAGTATTAAAGAATATTTTATCCAAATTTAAATTTAAAAAAGGGAAAGAATTAGAGATTCTCTAACACATGGTATCTTCAACCAATTATAAACTAATAAATAGAATCAGCGACTTGTATCTATATAGGAGGGACAAAACCAAGATTTTATCTTGAGGGAGGCAAACAATGACATATGCAAAAATTAATTTCATGAGGTTATTCAATGGTCATCGTTAATGATAAAATTTTATTTATAAAGAAGCTTTAAATTTAATTTTTATGCAATGCCGTCGAAAAAATTAATTTTGTGCACAAAACTCAAAAATTGAATCATTTCATCATAAAAATTTATTTGTGATAATATTATCGTCATCTTTTTTTCGTATTTATAATCTAAACCTTATGTCTATAAATAAATTATGGGTCGCAAATATTAATTTCATATGATATCACAATAAAAATGAATTATAAGCCAACAAACTATTTTTGATATAAATTATATTTGTATCCCTATTTTTTTTTTAAAAAAAAGACACTTTTTTTTTCTTCTACAATCATCAAAATAATCCGACAAGTGTCTTTGTGTGTACGAGTGACACTAATCAACGTGATTACATCTTAAATGGTTACTAAATATTAAGTCATTGATCTTTTTGAATATAATAAGGTTATGTTTGATAAAATTGAAAGTTAAACATTGAAAACTGAATGTTGAATTTTAAGTGTTGAATGCTTAATTTTTTAATTCGTAGACTGTTTGTATCAACTGAAATTTAAGTATTGAATTGAATCAAACTGTTTGATAAATATAAAGTGCTGAAGTCTGAAAATTATTATTATTATTATTTTGCCCTTCGCTTTAACCATCTCTCCGTAACTACCTTATTCCTACCACCACCATTGTGATGGTGGTGGTGGTGGTGATGATAGCGACAACGGCAACACAATGGTAGTGGTGACGGTGACACAATAATGATGGTGGCGATGGTGCCATAATGGTAGTGGTGTGGCGACGACACAATAATGGTGCTAGTAGTGGTGGTGGTGGTGACATAATGGTAATAATGGTGGCGACACAATGGTGGAGGCAGCTGTGTGGTGGCGGCAACCTACAATGATGGTGGCGACGATGGTGGTACAATAGTAATGGTGGTGGGAATGACATAATAATGGTGGTGGCATAATGGTAGTAGTGGTGACGACAGTTGTGATGATGGTGGTGGTAACACAATGGCGGTGGTGGTAGCAGCAACACAATGATAGTGGAAGTGGCGGTGACACAATGATGGTGGTGACGGTGACGCAATGGTGGTGGCGACACAATAGTGGTGATGACATAATGGTAGTAGTGACGACGACACAATGGTGGTGGCGGACGGCGGTGGTGATAGTGTTAGCAGCAGTGGTACAATAGTGGTGGTGGTGTGGAGATTGCACAATGATGGTAGTGACAGCGGCAACACAATGGTGGTGGTGGTGACAGTGGCAGCACAATGGTGGTGGTGGTGGTGGATACTGAAAAGTTAAGAGTGTAAAATGCATTGAATGTATATTTGTCCATTATAAGGAATTAATAAAATCCTTACTGAATAATATTTTCAGCATTAAGTGATAAGTAGGTGACTTGTTATTTAAAATTTTAGATGTTAAGTGATATGAATTTTATGTTATTAACGAGTTTAATTCATTAAATACTTAAAGTCTTCAATTTTAAATCTTAAGTTATGATATCAAATAATCTTTAAATAAAATACTTAATTATTGAGTATTTGAAAAAACTAGAGGTTAACAATAAATTTATTTAAAAATATAGAGAGGACAATGAAAATTTTCAAAATTTGAGAAGGGCATGGCCCCTAGGCCTACTCAGAGTTCTGTCCCTGCTCTAGGGTATGACCATTAATCAAGTCTCGAGGAGGACGACGATAACAAGCTCTTCAGAATGTCAACTATAACGTCATTCAGGAATAAGAGTTCTGTCCCTGCTATATATATAAGTCATCAACATGATATCTCGGTCATTGCCTCCATCGTCATGATAATACTCTTCACTCTCAAGAGGATTTTGGTGACACAAATATTCTATATTAAACGATTGAGTTTAATTTTAGATAATTAAAAAATTTTGATTCAACATTTTTTGTATCTCGTAAAAGTCAATCACCATTATTTCTTAAGAAACATGTTTTAAATTCTCGCAAACTATGATGATTATTATCCAAACTCAAAGAAATAATCAACGTAAATTTAAACGCCCTATAAAAAAATTGTAACTTAACCAAAAAAAAATAAAAAATTGTAGAAGAAATGTGAAAAGAATGTATGGAATAGTGAGTGATACAAAGAAAATTTATATGGGTATACTCTAAACAAAAGATAATATAGTTTATTAGAAGTCTCTCAATACTTTAAAATACAGGACAATTAAAATCATTTCATTGCATAAATAGAAAAAATAATGGACAAATTATATTTTGACCCCCTTAACTATGTTCTCGTTTTCACTTTGCTATTTGAACTATTGAATTTTTCACGGTGCTCCTCAACTACTTGAATTATTTCACGTTGCACTAAACGTAAACATATGCTATCTTTTTGGATATAAATTACCAACGTGTAAGTGAAAAAAATTTGATAGTTTGGGGGGTAGAACGATACAACTTCTCATCAAATTTGGAACAGATGTCAATAATTAAGATGATGTGAAACTGATCACATAATTGAAAGTGTAATATAAAAAATACAATAGTTAAGAGGCAATGTAAAAAATAGTCATAGTTGAGGGGGTTAAAGTGTAAATTGCTCAAAAATATTAAGAAAAATTACACCTAAATACCTGAGATTTGTCACTTAATCACTTAGATAATTTGACATTTGAAATATTATACACAGACTTTTTAAAGTTTATACATGTATAACACTTAGACCCCCTCAAATTTATAGACTCAAAACACTCAAACCGCTTTAGTTTGAACATTATACTGATCCCTTATTAATTACGAAACTAACAGAATCTATTAAACAATCAAATTACCTTAATTAAACATAAAATATATTATGTCAATTACAATTTAATCATTTGTTTGCGTTTTTAGTTTTATTTCAATAGACAATATTATTGTATGGAAATAAGTGTTGAATTGAATTATTTTATATATTTATACTAATTACTTTTTTCTCAAAAAATTAGATTTTTGTTTGGGTTTTTTGTCAATGGATAATACCATTGAATATGCAAATGTGTTGATTAAGCTTAGTTCATATATTCATACTTGACGATGAAAAAATTGACCTAAAGTGAAAAGTTCATTTAGTCCAAGATGGTGGCGTACTTAACACATACAAGTCAGACGGAAAACGGTGAATCTAATGGCGGACGGGTGAGTAACGCGTAAAAACCTGCCATTGAGAGGAGAACAACAGCTAAAAACAGTTGCAAAAAGAGGAATCTGTCCGAGGAGGGGCTTGCGTCTGATTAGCTAGTTGATGAGGTGATAGCTTACCAAAGCAATAATCAGTCACTGGTCCGAGAGGATGATCAGCCACACTAAGACTGAGACACAGCCTAGACTCCTATGAGAGGTAGCAGTGGTGAATTTTTCTCAATGGGCAATATGTACCTTTTGGCTTCGAAGTTTGTTCCAACAACTGCCATACATGTGATTTTGATCATCTTCCTCCCAGTCTTCTTGCCCGATGGGGGAAGGAAGGAAAGTCGGGTTTTCTTCTAAGGCTGGAGAAGGTCAAACTCTGGGCAGGTTGGCAGGTTTTGCCAATGCTACGATTTCACAAGATTAAATCTTTTTTGTTCAACCGAAGATAATGAGTCACAGACCACTAGGGAATAGACTTTCATTCCCTACTCCAAATATGTCATTCCTTCCTTTTAAACGTAATTCATACTTTTGAGTTATTTAGTGACTTAGGCATCGGAGAGTTAACCCAGAACCTCCCCTCCAACCTTTGACTTCTTCTTCAAGTGATCAAATTTCAACAAATTGATGTGGAGGTGGTCCAAATTTTGTCATCAACAATATTAATTATTATTTTTTTTTAAGAAAAAACAAATTTTTATAATTTGATTTTATTTAAGTAAATGACATAATCGAACATGAATTTTTGTTATAAAATTTAAAATATTTGATATTCTATATTTAATTGGAATATTTTTAGTTTAAATATAATATTTTAAACTTGAGCAGTCTAAGTATTACACGCTTCAAATATTAGAGGTTTGGATGCAATTAACTAATGGATATACTAACAGACGAGGGATTTTTGCGTCAAGTGCGTACAAATTTTAGGGGATTTGTGTGTAATATTTTAAATGTTAAAAGGTCGATGTATAATATTTTAGATGTCAGGGTCTAGGTGATTATGCGACAAATTTTAAGAAGTTTGAGTGTAAGTTTTCCAAAATATAATCATTTGATTATGTATAGAAATTCTTCATATAACATGCTTGCGAAGTATTTTCCAATCGATATTAATTTATAGTTGATTTCATTCGAATTATATTAAAATCAGAATATTTTTTTAAATGGCTTGGTCTGGCCCGAGGAAGGTCCAATGGCCGCTTCTGTACAACTGGTGTAGTACAAACATTTGTAAAGTCAAAACTGTACTGCAAAGAAGAAGATGTGGAGGTCATATCCAGCTCTTATATCACATTCTACCTTCGTTTATAAGTAACATAACTAATTCAATTTGAATAGACCAAGAAAGTTCCTGCAAAAGATCATTCATGGCCTCTTTCCAAACCCTCAAGTCAACATACTTGATCATAGCTCTCCTCTTATCCCTCCAATTGTCCAAGATCATAGGTCATGGAGGCATTGAACACGACAGCAGCACCACCACCACCCCAGATTTGCATTCAAAAGGCTTAATTCTGGTGAAAATCTGGTGTTTAATCATTCTATTTGTCAGCACTTTCGCCGGTGGCGTCTCGCCTTATTTCTACCGATGGAACGAGAGCTTTCTTCTGTTGGGCACTCAGTTTGCTGGTGGGGTGTTTTTGGGCACCGCACTGATGCATTTCTTGAGCGATTCAACGTCAACCTTTGGAGGTCTTACGACGAAAAGTTACCCTTTTTCATTCATGTTGGCTTCCGCAGGTTATCTTCTCACTATGTTGGGTGACTGTGTGGTGGCCTATGTGGTGAAGGGCGTTCAGAGAGAGGCTAAAGTGGAGACAGGAGGAGGAGACGTGACGGTTGAGGGTCGTGCAGAGGATATGGAAATGGATCTCAATCCAGTATTTGTGTCGACAAAGTCAGTGGGGGACAGCATACTTCTCATTCTTGCCTTGTGTTTCCATTCGGTTTTTGAGGGTATTGCTGTTGGAGTAGCAGGTAAGCGAGTATAGATCAATTCTTGTGTTTTTCAAGGTAGATCAGTTTGCTAGCAACTTAGTTTTGACTGTATTCCATTTGCAATGAATGCATTTATCAGACTCAAACTTAACATCAAGTACTACATACTTTTACGTCTCCCTTCTTGTTCGATCACTGAACCCATTCTTGCATATTATCTAACTTGAATATTGTTTTGGGCCTTTTGGCTAATCACGAAGTTTAACTTGAACAGAATGGAAGTAGTATTAGTCGTACCAACTCTCCTTGATTGACGTTTTAGCATTTTCAGTAACATATGAAAGCCTCTGAAAGTATGATTAAGAATCTGATGGAGTGTAGTTTGAAATCTAACCATTATGTAATTTTTCTTCTTTCTGCATTAATGAAAGAAAGATATATAACAAAACATTATTGTTTTGTTAACTTGATTGAATTGTCCAATCTGGTGCCTTTTGGACTAGTGGTTACAACGCAAATTTGATGTGCATGTATATAATCATCCTTTAATTATTGTATCACCTTTGGATGTTGCTCAAACTCAAAGTAATGCGCTGAGCTTGAATTGCTTATATAATACTGTTCTCAGATACCAAGGGTAATGCATGGAGAAACCTGTGGACAATATCCTTGCACAAGATCTTCGCAGCCATATCCATGGGGATTGCACTGCTGAGAATGATACCAAAGAGGCCATTTCTATCAACAGCTTCTTACTCTTTCGCATTCGCCATTTCAAGCCCAGTGGGAGTGGGAATAGGCATCGCCATTGACGCCACGACTCAAGGTCCTACAGCTAATTGGATTTATGCCATCTCAATGGGACTTGCCTGTGGTGTTTTCGTCTATGTTGCCATTAACCATCTCATAGCAAAAGGGTTTAAACCGCAAGCTCATTGTTATTTTGATACCCCATTTTATAAGTTGCTTGCTGTGGTTATTGGCGTGGGAGTTATAGCAGTTGTTATGATTTGGGATACTTAGATGAATTCTTGGGAAAATCTGTAATTCATCTAAATATACATTGCATGTATATTTACATTACTTTCTGAGAGCTTCTAAAAGATTTACAATTTTTTGAACATCGTAAATTTGCCTCGCAGATAAGTGGGTCTGTTAGAGAAATGGAGGTCTTAAGCAGTCAATTCTTCCTGGTATAGTCGTCAATCAATTGGATTACCATCTCTTCTATAGGAAGGAATCACTATTGACGTAGGATCTCTTTCAAGTAAAGTACAATATCGACTTTCATTACATTTTTGATTAACCAAATGCAAAACCTCAATTAATTGTTTTTGACTTTAGATCTAAGTGGCCATGCTAATTAGGGGTTAGCACTCAAGTCACAGAAGCTTTTTTTTGGGTCAAAGTATCAATTTTCATTTAATCAAAAACGATAAAAAAAAACGTGATTTTTATAGTGTAAAATCACCCTATTTCTATTCTAATCTCTTTGAGTATGATTTGCATCAGCTGCATTGGAGCTGATGTAATCCAGTAGGGTGGAAGAGTGCCTTGTCTGGATTGCATAGCTAGCATGTGTGATGGTTGCTTAATTACGGAATCTCTTTGAAATCTTTGTCTAACATTGGATAATT